GAATGGAGCTAAATGCTGGTAAATGAGTTTGGGGGGAGCATTAGTGCAACTAACTGTATACATGCGCGGGGTTTAGTTCAGCTAAAGGTATAGATGAGGGGAGTTTGTGCAATTTACGCTAACAAATATATAAAACAGAAGAACTTCTGCGAGTTTAGTAGCATTCATTTAAAAAGAAGATGAATATGATTCAATAAAAAGATCTATGTTTTAAAAGAACAGTCCATACAACTTTATTAGGGAAAAATCACGCAAGAAGAGATGATGTGTTTTTCCTGCTTTATGTATGTTACTAAATTACTATGAATTACACCATTTCCCTTTTTCGACTAAAATTCTCTCTCAAGGCAGAGAATATATATCATATACTCCTAGCTTATTGGAGTATACTTTGAACCCCCTAATGGTTTTGTAAGTAAATCCACAAATTGCGAAATTAATTTCACATGTGCTATGTAAATCACGTCTTCAAAAACTCTCTGATGGAAATTAGATTAAATATGCTTTGTCCTCTCATAAAATAACGGACGTTTAGCTATACAGACGGCAGTCTGATTAGCATGTTTCAAGACCACAGGTATGGATGTTGAAATCCATCTTCTTCTTGTAACAAATATGTCAGCTACATCAACTCATATGTAACATCCGTAGTAGCTCGACAGTCAAACTCAACACTTGAATTACCCACCTGCAACCCACCCAATGTTCTGACTTGACCTACCACAACATATCCTCCCTTATGGTGGAAAAGCTACAACTGGTCTTGGTTTAACATCTACTGTTAAGTCATGTGAAGAACTTTGTCTACTACTCTGCTTTACACTTTTCTGCTTGTGACAAGATGGAAGGGAGTTCTTTCCAGAGAGCAGTGCTCTTAGCTACAGCTCAGCTATACGTTTTCCATAGAAATTTTAAGGCTTCCTCATTTGCTGAGCTAAGGAAGAAGTTGGGAATGGCTAATATCTTTGCTCTAGCTTGAGAACGAGTATTGAGGGTATTGTGTTCTTTTTTCATATATGTTTTAGTTGATATACTAGTAGAGACTAGAAGTAGAAAGACTCCAGTACATGTTTGCTGTTCTCTCCAAAACATTTGTTCTCCCCTCTTTTACCCTATAAACTTGTTCATCTTTTCTTTCATGTAATTCATTCTGCAATCTTAGAACAGGTTCATGTTTTGCCTTATTCGGCCTAGAATAGATATCAGGTAACACATCCTCTTTTGCTATTCTACTGTGTCTCCTTTCTGTAACTAAATGGCCATAGAAAACCCAGGACAAGTGAGATACTAAAATAGCTCTCAGAACGTGATCCAAACTTGAATACTAAATCGTTATAACTTTATTATAACTTTAAAACTAAGGCAAGCAAAACCCAGTTATAATTAGCATAAATTTAGATGTATACAAAACAAAATACGAAATAGAAAATTTTTCCAAGTGAGACAAGAAATATAACAGTTTTTTTTTCTTTCTTTGTGTGCATTTCAGAGAACATCTTAGATACCTTGGATGTTTGCAGAATTTGCATTAAACATGAAACAAGCAATCATACAGCAAACAATATACTAAGAGAGCATGAAGTCTGTAGATATCCTTAGAAACAGATTCATTTACCATTATTATCTCCAGCCACAATAAAAGAAACATGCAAACTATGCAGCAGTTTTAGACAATCCACAGTCTTTGATGCTGCTGCCAATGCCTACAACACCAGATCATGTATGAAAGTTTTATTAGATGTATGCAAAACATGACACGATATATGAACACATTACAAGATCTCAGTATTCATCATTCAGTGTAATGCACAGATACAAAAAGTTCACCCACCCCACAACACACACAAAGATACCGCAGCTGCCCTATTTTCTCTCAAAACTATGAGGAATACATTACAAGATCAATACTCATCACTCACTATAATGCACAGATACAAAAAGTTCACCCACCCCACAACACACACAAAGATACCGCAGCTGCCCTATTTTCTCTCAAAACTATGCCCCCTGCCATATTTTCTCTCAAACTATGAGGCACATGAGCATAACACCACAAACTTTTATCAGAAATAAGCAGAGCGTGATATGATATATGCATAAGTTGCAGGGCTAAATATCACCATTATGCATAGACATAATTAAAGCCAATTGCCATAATTCCTCTTGGAACTTTGAGGCTTGTGAGCATAGTACCATAAAATCTGAATCAGAAATTTCTGTAGCATTAAAAGATATATTAATAAAATGAAGAGTTTAAATATAAGCTTATATGCTTAGGTGCATAAAATGAACAAATTTCCTAGATATAATCTATTTTTTCCAGAACTGAGCTTGCAAACATCTAAGCATAATCTCAAGGCACTTCACTAGAAGTGCGCATATTTTCCTCTGATTCAGGGTATAAAATCATCCCATACTACGCTCCAACAAGAAACATGATATTCTAAAAGTGGCTTAGAGGTGCCTCTGCAAATTTGAAGGAACAACAGTTGACATTTTAGTTCACAGAAGGGACAACAGTTGACATGTTACTTGGAATCATAGGGCTAATGAGCATAGCACCAAAGTGTGCTGCTTACGGGATTGAACATTCATTTAGAAAAGCTTCGTTGTTGACATGTTACTTGGAATCATAGGGCTAATGAGCATAGCACCAGTGTGTGCTGCTTACAGGATTGAACATTCATTTAGAAAAGCTTCGTTGTTGTTGTTGTTTTATACCCCAACAAACATATGATCCAAGATCTGGAACTAACCAACAAGGACATCTAAAGTGAGCCCTAGCCACATCCAGGTTTCTATGGAACCTCCAATCATAAATTGAGGAGACAAAATAGTAACACATAAACACTAGGATCGGTTGGCAAATTTTACAGAGATGTACGTGGAATCGTAGACAAAATGCAATAGATTCCATAAAACTGGAAACCTTTCCATCCAAGCCTAACTTGACCAGCGATGGGCCATCCCATGGATAATAATGACCATGTCCAGTCTTGAAATGAGTTGTGAATACTTTCATCTATAAATTGGTGGCAGAAAACAAATTACTTAAGTGTAGGAGAAAAATATATTGATCTCTCATTCTTAACAATTTTAGACGTGTCAATAAAAATCAAAGATGTTGACCATCAAAGGGATGGCACGCTGTTCAAAGAAATCCTTGTATGTATATATATATNTCTATAAATTACAGGAAAAGAAAATATAAAGAAACAGTAGTGGCGGAAACATGCCTGCCCAATTAGTTGTCCTCCAAAAACTTGTGTAAAAGCTGGAGAATCTGGCAAAGTAAATCCACGAAATAAATCCACCTTCAAAAAATAAAATATGGACCATAAACATAATCAGAATGAAATGCTTGTTAGATAATAGTAATATGGTGAAGCAGCGCTGACAAGAAAAACATCAAAATTTAGCATGGGAAAGAAAACAATTTAATCGAGTTTGCACTACAAACCCTATCCTTATGGTCATTGATTTCAACCTCAATGCAGATTACATAAACATGTCTAGACACTTCAATTATGTAATGATATACAAAATAGAACACAAAAAATAGATACTTAGAGCACTGTTGTCAGAATTGGATCAAGCTGCCCAACAGGACAGCATTCAATCAGAACGAGAAGGTCTCTTGCTTTTTTCAGGAAAACTGGAAAGTTTTGGGACCTGCATATACCGCAACCAGAGGGCGATCCACATACTGGACTTTAACAGGAGACAGCATGTGCACTGTCCAATTCAGTAAATCCGGAATTTTCTGTGTAAAAATGCCTGTAAGAGGAATCAAACCTTGACCAATGAAGAACCGTAGTATATAGCGTAGGCGAGGGGGCGGCTAGTTGTGGGGTGAGCCCGGTGGGAATGGTATTAGAGTAAACATCTCATTTAGCAAAATTGAATCTGCCCAGTAAAGTCAACGGTGTCTAGGTCCCACTAGTTGTCACATAGTCACATAGAAGCGTGGGTGTCGTACGTCTAGCCATTTCGTGAGTGGGCAGCACATACTCATGTGCCAACGCCCCCCCCCCCCCCCCCCCACACACACACACACACAAAACCCAACCAATTGATATATACATCATAACTATTATCTCAAAGTTTCTTCATGTACAACTCCATTCAAGCAACATGAACCATGGCAAAACCCTGGAAAATCTAACCACCAAATTTTCTGTTTGGGGATGGTTTCTTTTGATAACATTCGCCTAGAGTTGTTAAATTAAGAAGAATACTAAAGATAGTAAAGGCTACTTGATTTTGTGGGATCAGAATATGCTTGAATAGAACCTAATAATCAACTCAACTTAACCTATACTTATTCAACATGATCAATTGAAAACACAGAGCTTGATCTACCAGAGTATTTGGTCTTAAAGAAAGAAGTGTCAATGGAAGAATTCATCAAAAGGAGACTTCACTTTGACTGCATGTCATCTGTTATCAATAATAGAGATTCTGTGGATTCAGATTAAGGAATTATGACCTGTGTCTAGACGCAGTTAACTAGCTCAATTAGTTCAGGCTACAGAACTTCTAGGTAATCACCCTTTCTGGTGAAAATTACTTTTACATATATGATATGGGATGTCTACAGAAAAGCACATTATCTACAAGTATTTCACACTGCATGCAGGAACAAACTTACTTCTAATGACTCCAAGTGCAATATCTGCTCCACCAGTGAGAAGTCTTTCGGTGTTCCCTCTGCGTTCCATATTGATTTAGGCTGCAGAAGATTTCTATGTCCGTGCTCCAGCACTATGCATGTGAGCTACCAAATTGGAGTAATCAGACAAAATCTGGATTCACTTCTGAAAAATGCATTCTAAAGATATGAACTAATAAACACAAACCTTAGATGATGCAATTACATTGACTTGGTGGACAGAACCATCAGTACCTATAAGTAATCAGAGCACAGGGTTAAAAAAGCTTTCTCAAGAAAAATCTAAGGAAATAAAAAAGAACTTTTTAAGTTACCAGTAGATAGTAACAGAAAGACAGAGTACCAAGAACTACATTTTGACTTCTAATATAAGGAAATTGATGCATGATATCATTAAATTTTATACCGTTGGACCAAGCAATTGAATTGACTTTCTATTTAACAGATCCAATCAAAAGACCTAAATACTTAAAATAGAGTGAACTATCTAGACATTTCCTATTTTCAATTTGCGCAACAATAACGTGGTCAACTTTCTTCTCCCAGTCCTCTAGGCTTTATCTATTGTCTCCTTGAAGAAATCCTGGAAATCTGGATGCCACAGTTCAACTCCTACAGAGTTATGTTCATCTCATGGAAACTGCAACAACAGATGGTTTCAAACTTAACCTTGATGGATCAGTGTGGTGCAGGATGGGCTGGAACATTGCCTTCGTATCAGATAGACATTGGGAAGATAAGTTTGCTCAATGCACATTATTTTCTGAAAAGCCCACTAGTTTAAGATTATTGGACCAAGTGTCTTTCTATCATGTTATTAGAGCATCAGGTTTCAAAAGCTTCTTGATTTAAAACTAATTGTCAAAATTTAAAACATGTTAAGATGGAGACCTTAGGCATGCTAAAGGCCCACATGATGCTACATTTGTTTCAAAAAAATCAGAAAGTCTGCAGTTGTAAAAGGTAATAATTTTATGGCACCGAGGCTAAAGAAAAAAACTTCCTAGCCCTATCCCCTTCCAAATATTGGACTTTATCTTCTGGCATCCTCTTTATTCTTTCTCCTCAACTTTACTAACTACAAAAGGCAAGAACCATATGTTCCTCTACGTACCTTCTATATATAGGTGACACTATAAACTGACTCGTAAAGAACTTGACAAATTTAAGATTTTGTCCCCTAAAAATGTAAATAAAAAACTCAGAAGTATTGTCATCTAAACCTTCTCTGATCAAAAGGGGAGGGGATAAGGAGTACATATCAGAACTGAAAAGACTCCAGAACAGAATCACCAAGTATCCAGAGCGCCTTTTGACTTAACATGAACCCGCTACAAATTGGTCTGAATTTCATTTGAAACAATAATAAGGAAGTGACAGCCACTCGAGAAGACATTCTAGAGCAATTGGCATGCAAGTAGTGCGACATTTTCCATTTGTGTAAGTTAAACACATGGCCTCTCAAAATCAGTATGAATGATATATTGAATCACATACATCTTTGAGCCACAATGTACGACAAAGACTAAAGGGATTAGCATTCTGATAAATTAGGATAGTGATAAGCAGTTCAATTATATGGGACAAAGTAAAGCAATCAAGAAGAATGAGAATTGCCACATAGTATGAGAAACTTTTAAGGAATAGATTTATACCACCAAAATAGTCATATTTCTTCAAGCGAAGGTCCGCGTCCTCCGTATTTACAGACTCAGAAACTTCAGCCTACCACATCAAAGGCCATTACCACAGATCCAACAAAGGATAGCAGCAAACAATTAGGAAAATACCAAAAGAAACTAAAAAAGAATACAACATAAGAACCATAAACAGATGCAACAAACAGAAAAAATAATAATAAAGATGCCACAAACAGATGCCTCTCAGGTTGTTATCATAAATAATGCAAAAGTAAAGAAAAAATGATAGCCCAATTTCTTCAAATATCAAGGGACATTCTAGATGTCAGAATAAGAGTCACGCCCTATACAAAATATGCAATATTAGCATTCATGTCCACTTTGTTAAGCAACAAAGTAATAGGAACCAAGAGACACACAACATTAAACCCCACCACCTTGTTTCACGAAATTATGTAGCATAGCATTATGTGAATATAGGACATGTGCTTGACAAGAAACCTGAAGAATAACATGCTTTCACGTGAAGAAGTCTTGGCAGATTACTTACAACTTCACACATCAAACAAAAAATAAATTGCAATTTTTCAAAGAAAAAAAATGACGTGGTTACAGCTATACTGATTGTAGTTCTGGTCCTAAATGTAGACCCCAAATCATCCGTATGGAGAGAAATAATTATCAATCTAAATTATAATGGACATGGAGCTCAAGCTTCCTACATATATTGGTTTCAGATAATAAGACTGACAACCAGAAAGCACAATAAACCCACAGAAAGCCCCTGAGACTTCTTTAGAAGAAAAAGAGAAACTCTTTTTGTTGATGATTATGATTTCCTTGATTTCCAAAACAAAGAAGAAGACATGTTTATGTTCTTTTAGAATTTCAACTCTCCAGTACCAAGCCATGTAAATCTTTTGTATACAGGGTGCCCATACTCATTAAAGTAGTCCTCTGGCTTACATCCTCACAATACTGTCACAGAAGAAATTTAAAGTGACTGCTTTACAAGATAATACAATTAACCGAGAAATAATGTCACCATCTGAACTCCGCTATAATATCATATATATATAATAATAAGAAGAGTCAGTATTCATACCTCGCCATCCCAAATAAAGTATAGTCCCTCCCCAAATTCCCCCTCGCGAACAACATATTCACCAGGATCTATAAAGAAATAAGTCCATAAAGAAGATAATTCAGAAGGCAGAAGAATAGTGAGACCAAAATTTAAGTTAATAAAATATAAATATCCATATCATACTGTCAGAAATCCCAATCAAACAAAAAAGTCTAATTTTCTTTGCCAAAAATTATATACACTTGCTAGTCTGTGAACCAACCAAAAAAAAAAGAAGACTATCCCGTTGCAAGCCACCAGTTATTGGACCCTAAGAGAAGAAGACTACCAAAATACTATGCTCTAGTACAAAAAGATTGACTGCTGCAGATTGAATAAAGTAGAATTCCTACCAAGATCCAAGGTTTTAAAACACGGTTTCATTATGTGTACGATCCGATATCAGGTAGCGATTAATCGGGCTATGCGGCGATGGCGATTAATCAGATAATGTGAAATTATGTGTTTCTGAAATACACACACACACACAAAAAAAAAAAAAATCATTAAAAAATATAAAACAATCCGAGTAAAGACTAACAACTATACACCAAGCTATTCAAATCAAGGTTGTTATACACTTAAAAAGGAGAACCACTAAAGGTTCATAAACTAAAATCACTACAATAGGTAGTAACACTTTAAAATACAAATAAAACTCCTCATATAATCATTTCTCATAATCCTCATAGTGATTGGTGGTGAAAACGGCAGCAGTGGTCGGAGGCAGTTATCAACGACAACTAGTGGTGGCAGAGAGGAGGCTATGTGGTGATGACTAGATTTAGGGTGTTGAAGCAGCATGTTTTTTCAAGGATCTTTTCAGGTAACGATCAGGAGACTCTAGGATAATTAAGTGCGGGCAGGGTCCGGTCAGGTATATTATGTGCCATATAATTTCATTATGCGAGCGCATGCTCTTTAACCGCTTGATCATGCGGTATGACCGCATAATCGCGCAAGTTTCAGCTACCCAACATGTTTTGATGTCGAGTAGGAGTACTAGAGTGAGTATTCAGCCAGGTAGAGCGTGTTTTTGAATACCGCCAGCATCAAATTACTTTTTTCATAAACGTATTTTCTTGCTAAACTACCAAAAGAAAAACAAAATTTCCAAGAATTTACCAATTTTTCTGAAATTTAATTAGTTTGATAAAAAATAATTTTGGTTGCCATATTATAAGCATTAGAATTAGAAATGAAAATTATAACCTCAAACCTCACTATAACTTCAGAGTTTTGGTATAGCGGAATGGATCTTTTAACATAGTATAAGAGCAATCTAGGTTCAAGCCCCACCATCACGAATATAAAATAGATACCATAAGTCCGGATTTTGACCCATGAAAAGAGCGCTCAACCAGACAGGCATGCTAGAATATAAAATTGTAACCCTTGACGGTCACTATAACTTTGGGTTTCTGGTGCAGTGGAAGGAAACTTTAATAAAGAGAATGTCAATATCTTTTACAACCATTAATATTATAGTTCACAAGGTGCCCTCTTTAATTCCAACATTTCAGGCCTCCAACCCCCAAAAGTTTAGGAATTTAGATGAGCATTTAGCAGAGTCCCAAGTGGATTACAAGGTTAATGTCAATTATCTCCGTAATATTATCCATTCAGATTATTCCTGATTCCAATTCCAACCGCTTCAACTCAGATACCATCAATCAATGATCAATCATTTACGAAATTGCAAAATTGAAATCGACTGAGAATCTCACCATAATGCTTGGCCTTGACGAGTTCGGAGATCTTTCGAAGAGAAGAACTGGGGAGTCTCTGCAGCAATGGGACTCGTGCAAGGAACTCGATCACTGTGACAGACAAAAAAACAATCGGATTTTTAGTAAAATTTGGGGAATGGCAAAGATTAAAAAATCTAGGGTTTTTTCCCCCCAAAAAAAAAACAAAATATCACCTGCCTCACGATCCATCAGAGAGCACGGAGAGGAGAGGAAGAGAGAGAATTTAAGGACGAGGTTATTGATGAATTTAGAGAAAGAAGTCCTTTTTTAATACAGGAAATATTCAGCCACTCGATTGATGCCACGTGGCACAGAAGCATCGACATCGATCTGCGAAGGAAAATTTTCCCTGGTGCTCGTACGCGGGCAGGGCATTCACACGCTCTTTGTCTCGTGGTCTTCTGAAGTCGCACGTTTTTCAGATGATGATAATAATTAATAATAATAATAAATAATGAAGTAAGGCTTTTGTAGGTCATCTCTCTTTATTTAGGTCTAAAGCACGTAAATACCCTATAATTTCCCCACTTTGCCCTTATATCCCTTTTTACTTGTCTTTGGCAGGACTTATGACTTATATACCCTATAGTTTTCACTAATACATCCTCACTTGCTTTTGGCAGCACTTGTGTACCCTAAAGTAAACTATTGTCGAAGATTAAGGGAGGAAAAAGCAACCAAAAAATTTGGTCCGAGAATGTGGAAACTTTTCATGTTGGTTGAAGAATTGTATTCTTTCATATGAGCTGTAGAATAATCATGGAAGTATTTAATCTTTTTTTTTTTGAATTGAAAAAACAGGGAGAGATTCCATGTTCATAATATATATTAGCTTACCAATTAGTAAAATTTACAAACAGCACGACTTTGTGAAGAGAGAAAACATGGAACTAATTGAACGATAGGGAGCGGACATTGTCGTCACCTATCAGAACAAGAAACCCATGATTCTGCCCTCACAACTGATAAAACAACTGTATCACAAAGAAACAATCAAAAGAAAAACCCAAAACATAGAGTTTGAGGAGCCTGGAGATACAGATCACAAAACAGCCCCTCGAGACCAAAAAGAAAAAAGATAAGAAGAATAAGAATTGATTGTCTCGCTAGAAGTTATCTCCTACAACATCCACATTTTTCTTCTTTGCGATTTCCTAGAACTCCAGCTTGATGTCAGCCTTACGAATTCTTCTTGCCATTCTATCTTCTTCAGCCCCTGTCCATAAAAGAGTGTATCTTGCTATGTTAGAGGCAATATTTTCAGGGGTCGACAAAAAACATTTGTGAAATTTAGGAAATTACGACTGTTCCAAATCCACCAACAACAGTAAGGTAACACAACTTTCCAAACTAATCTGATTTCTGTTCTAATCGTAGGACTCATGCTGATATTAATGAGTTCATCCATGTGGTGAGGCCAGAAATCTGCACGTGTGTTAGGGAAAAGCAAGGACCAAACAGCACTAGCAAATTGACATTGAATGAATAAATTGTCTTGATTCTCAACTTCCTGATAGCAAAAGGGGCATCGGGGGTCACAAGTCCATCCTTTAGATATAAGATTAGCCTTGGTATTAAGTTTATTCTTACTGACAATCCAGAAAAAATTCTTTACCTTTGTCGGATTGGGGGATTTCCATATGAATTTGAATAGAGGTGATTTCACTCCCCCGGAGTTCACGACAGTGTAAAGGGACTTGACTGAATATATACCCGATGGATGAAGAGGCCACCAAAGATAGTCTTTTGAATGGCTATCGACTGAGGATAGAGTATCCAGAAAGGATCTCAGACTTGCTATTTCTGATCTCTCTACTGTGGTGGAACTTCTTCTTAATATGATGTGCCAGCTCCAGAAGTTATCAACCATGAACCCTTGGGAGTGAGAATTGCAGTTGGGGTAGAAGGCGAGGTTGAAAGCTTTGGGGAGCAAACTACTGAGAGAGTTGACACCGGCTCATTTATCAATCCAAAATCTGCAAGTCTTTCCATCACCTACTTGCCATCTAGCAAAACTAAAGAAAGCTGAGTGTCAATCATTTAAGAGTCATTATGCATGTAAAATATTTTTTGAACTTTTAATCTAAAAGTATCCGGCTTGCTAATTATTATTATTTTTACCTTTTCTTTCATAAAATGATTGTGGCGCCATGCTCCAGGCTATGCGTGAAAGGGGATCTCCCATGGGAAATAAAATACTTTATTATAGTAATAAAAACTGAGTTTTGCTAACTATTACCTTCAGGGCAATGGATAAGGAGGAGACAAATAGAGCGGTGTGGATGAATAAAGAGAATAAGTAAAAAACATAAGACACCACTCACCAATGTATTAAGAGGGGGAAGAGAGAAAGAGAGAGATAGATGGAAGAGAGACTGTTGAGGAGTAGTGATAAGTGTACTACATTTTCTCTTCTACTTGGGCATTATCACTCACAAAAGAGTGGGGGTCATGATGAGTTATCAATATAAATTTCAAGTGAGGCATCCACCTCATTGTGAGTAGTAATACCAAAATAGTAAAAAAAGAAGCGCACTTATCATTTTTCAAATTTTGATATAGAGAGGAGAATGGTGAGTGGGACCATATGTTTTCCATTCGTTTTCTCTCTTCACCCACACCCTTCTATCTCTCTTCTTCTTATCCATTGCCCAAAGAACAATGGTTAACAAAGCCCATAAAAATTTATGTAGTAGCGCTTCAATTAAGCTTTTACAACAAATTATTTATTTGGAATTGGAGGCAACCTTTTGAGACATCCTCGTGTATAATTTGATTGTGACTACTCAACAGTGCTAATGGAATATGTGAATTGCACTTACTCTTGCTTTTCATTCGTGACAAAATCATAATCATCTTTTAAATAAGGAAAAATTGCTTCTAGGACCCAAAATCCAACTTTCAATGTACCCCTCCTCCCCAACTTTCAACAATGTGCTGCAGTCCCTTTTATTTAAAAAATTATGTCCAGGCCCCTCTCCTTAAGTTCCAATGCAACCTCTTCAAAAATCTCAATTTTACCCCTCCCTTACACCCTCTCCTCCTCCTCCGTTCCTCCTCTGCCCCCTCCCCCTCCCCCCGCCTCCCCCGCCCCCGCCCCCCCCCCCCGCTCCGCCGCCAGCGCCTTCCCAAGCGTCGTCGCCTCCCTCCCCCGCTCGGCCTCCCTCCCCTCCCCCGCCTCCCTCCTCCACTGCACCTCCCGCTGCACCTCCCCCTACACCTCCCTCCTCCTCCGGTGCCCCTCTGCCCCCTCCACCGCTCCGCCGCCGGCGTTGTCCCGAGGAACTTCGCGTGGCCGGTGGCGATCATGGTTATTATATTAACATATTAACTCTTAGGGTTAACATGTTAACTCTTAGGATTAACATGTTAACTTTTACGGTTAACATGTTAACTCTTAACAGTTAACATGTTATCTGTAAGAGTTAACATATTAACAGTAAGAGTTAACATGTTAACCCTAAGAGTTAACATGTTAACAGTAAGAGTTAACATGTTAACCCTAAGAGTTAACATGTTAACCGTAAGAGTTAACATCCGCTGGCATGAGAAAGAAAAGGATAAAATTGGGATTTAAGCCAGCTGGTATATCTAATTATGAGCTGGTATGTCTAATCATCTGTTGGCATGAGCTGGAATCATGATGGAGGGGCCTGGACACAATTTTTTCAAAAACAAGGGGCTGCATCACATTTAAAAAAATATGGGGGGTTGGAGCACATTGAAAGTTGGATTTTGGGGCTTAGAAACAATTTTCCCTTTAAATAATAAATGGCTATAATTAAAACTAAACATCAGAATTTTGTAGATATTAGGTAAATAAGAAACTCGGATGCAGAGATAATAGGAAAAATGTGATTCTGATCTTGAATAAGAATTGAGAACCAATTAATTATGTGCAAAACTTAAGGGGGTTAGCTGCAACACCTGAAAAGTCCAGGAGAATTTCCTTGAATTAAAACAGTATAAGGGTTTATCTGCCAAAACCCCCAAAAGTTCAGGGTGGTTCAGAAATAAACCCTAAGAGAATAAGAACAAGGTCTCTAATGGACTTGAACAAAATTTAAATGTTTTAAGCGAATAGCTTTGGTACTCCACCTTTGGAGTACCGGTGGAATGGATGTTAGATTTTAGTGTAGTGGCCACGTTTTTGTTTTAACCTAATTTAAGTGGCCACGATTTTCTCTCACGTTTATTTTAGTTTAAGAAATTGGTCATGATTTATTTTAGTTATATAACTACTCACGTTTTATGCTAATTTCCTATTGGTCAAAATAACTACTCACAATGATGGAGTGTGAGTGGTTATTCTATTTAAAAGACTTGGTCCTCTCTCTACCTTAAGTAAGTGAAAATTTTTCTCTCCATCAAGAAAATTTCGGAAAAGCTCAAGAGGGTAAAGAGAGAGATACTCAAGTCTTCAAGGTTGTTCATCTTGCAATCAATTTCTCATCAAGCTTTAAACATGGATCAATGTACGTTTTTCTTAATAATTGTTCATTGTGAAAATCATTTTGTTCTAAGATCTTGGTATAATGATGATTAAATCAAAATGAAGTTTGATTTGCTTAAGCATTAGTTTTAACAATGGATGCTAATTTTTTCCTGTAAATTATGCTCTTTCAATCCACAATTTGTGGGATAAAGTTGTTAAGAGGAGTTCCACACAATTTAAAAAGGTTGTTGTAGGATATGAAAGTACAGAGGAAACTCATTTTAATACCAATCTATAACTAACTGAGGAATTATTTTTTCTTATAAAAAACTTCATAGTTTACTTTAAAAAATTTATTTTTTAACTTATCAAAATTCCATTTCCTTTCAATATCCCATCATATATATATATTTGGTCGGAAATCTTTCACATTTCTATTGAAATTTTTATGAAAATTAATCATGTATTGTATTTTGTTATCTTTTATCCTTTTTTCTGATTACTTTTTGAAAAATCTGCTTCGCCTCATGTAACATATGTTCAATAAAATTTAGTTGATTAGTTGCATTTAATGGAAAATT